AATAATAATAATAATAATAATAATAATAATAATAATAATAATAATAATAATAATAATAATAATAATAATAATAATAATAATAATAATAACAAATTATTTCACCAAATTAATATCCACAATATTTTCAATACTCAAGAATTACTACCATCAAAATTGCATAAAGTTCTTTCTTTATGATTAAAATCCATTGAAAAATAAAAACAAAAAGAAAAGAAGTTTAATCGAAACCTTTACCTGCATTTTATTTTTCCTTCGTGCAAAACCAACCACAACAACATCATGTCGTACAAGAGCTTTAGCTATTGCTAATCCATTTCCACTTGATGCACCAGTAACTATAGCTATTTTACCAGCCCATCGTTGCATTTTGACTTAATTTTCAATCTCGTTTAACAGTCAGAAAAAAATAATCAAAGAACAGAGATAGAGAAAGTTATCTCTTTGAAGTTACTCCCTCGACTGATCACGGCTATCCTCTCGTTTGTTACTTTATTTAACTATGTTACATGATCCCACTTCGAAGTATTTCCACGAAGAGTAGAATCATTATTCAAGGTTACATTGCAAATATAAAAAGGCACGAGAAAAAATATGATGTAACAAGAAAATTGAAGTCCTCCTATATTCGTACTTTGTATTATATTAATTATACGTTGTATAGTAATATCATGCAATCGTGATTAATAATGATTATGAGAGGGGGAAAAATGCAATTACTTCACGCAACATTCTTCTTTATTTTTTTTCTCCTTTATATTATACGCATGTATGTTTGCTATATACATATTCGTGTTGATTTGCGTTGATCGTCCAGTGGTTGGCAAACTTTTTCAATCTTTTGCGTCCTTGGTGAATCCAAATTTTTGACGAATATTCATGAATTTTATATTTAAACTTTTTATTTTTTAAAGATTAATTATTTATTTCATCAATAAATATCTAATAATGTTATATAAGCGTTTATTTATTTTTTGTTTATGTCGAATGACAATTGTTTCTTTATTTATATTAGTTTTTTTTTCTCTATTTTATAGATAATCTTTTTTAACATTAATCGTAAATACTAATTTATCGTTTCTATGTGTTTATAAGTGTATTTATATGGATTAAAAATTATAAGTTCATTTATTCTATCATATATAAATTTTACATAGTATTTTAGAGTCCATCTATATTTGTTCACTCTAGTACATTAACATATATTGCTGGAGTTTTTTTTATTTCTATTTATTTTTTATATTCTTTTTTGAAAAAAACATTTTGCTTTGCAAAATTTTGAAAACAAAACAATGCTCAAATTTACACGAAGAAAAAAAATCATGTGTGCAGATCAAACGTGTTAGAAGTGAAACCTTAAAAAAACTAAGTTTTGAGAGAATGAGACGAATGCACAGTTTCAAGAGTAAGATAATTGTAGGATTTATTTATTAGATTATTATTACCATATATAACAAAGGGCACCAGTATAATCTTTGAGTGGAATAGCTCATAAAAACTACACTTTGCCAAATTTAAGCAATAAAAATGGAATGCTGAATGCGATAGTCATAGATAAACACTAAGATCGTAAGATGTTTATTGAAGGAAATATAATTCGTCGTAAAATAAATAAATATAAAATATCCTTTTTTTGAATCTCAGGTATAAAATTCTATTGGTTACGATGATTTTTGAATTCTCACTTCAATCTACATTTTTGGGCTGTGTAAAAAACATTTTAGGAAGGACGAAATAAAAACGTTACGAAAAACATATGGAAAATAATGCTGGACTGAACAAAGGTTCTGCTACAGATGTAATAGAGATCTAATACAGATCTTTTCAAGAAATGCTTTTTCAACTCCATACCCTGTCACACTTTGAGACCCTTATTATTTATAACATAACTCGTTCTTGTTCCTTGAACCACAAACTTATCTTTCTAAATACTCTCATCTAAACAAAGATCTGAACAACGAAAAATCTAAAAAATGCATTGAATCGTATCGCTCTCTCAGCTTATCGAACTGTGTACACTACGATAACAACACGTCCATATTCCTTACAAAACTATAGACATGAATATTATCGTATCGATAATAAAGGTTATAAATATAGATTAAATTTCAACGGAGCATCTCTGTTTTTTATAATTCTGTTCTCATGAAAAGGAACCGACCTTGGGGTGTAGGTAGCTGACAAAAACTAACATATTTAAAATTCTATCCATCAAGATAGAATGCTGAATCCGATAGCCATAAATAGAAACAAAAATGGTAGAAAATATTTGTCAGTGGAAAGATACCCTATCCTAACCTAAGTAAATATAATATATTCTTTTTTCTCACACCTGGATGGAAAGTACGTATTTTGCTCCCTGTTTTCAGGGAGCAAAGTGCCACATTCCCGCCCGCTTGAATTTGTGCCAGGGAGAAAAGTGCCTCATTCCCTCCCGCTTGAATGTAGTAATGAATTAGTGCGCATGCGCTAAAAAATAGAAGCATGCGCACTAGTTCCTTAACCTTAAAAATGTTTTAATAAATTACTGCTCATGCTTATATATATTATATATTATGATATATAA